GGGGGGTTTTATGGAATCGTGGAGTCATGGAAACAGTAAGGTTGGAAAAGACCTCTGAGGTCTCCGCTCCCCGGGGCAGTGGTCACGGCCACAAGGCTGCCAGAGCTCAAGGAGCGCTTGGAAAACGCTCTCAGGCACAGGGTGGGATTTTGGGGGGTCCTGGGCAGGGCCAGGAGCTGGACTGGGTGATCCCTGTGGGTCCCTCCCAACACAGGAAATTCCATGATTCTAAGATCCCTGTGCCCGACCATTCCCCCAGCACTGCCAAGTTCACCAACCCACGTCCCCAAGTGCCACATCCACAAGTTTTTTAAACCCCTCCAGCGATGGTGACTCCACCACTTGGTTCCAAAGCCTGGACACCCTTTTTTCCAATATCCAATTTTTTCCAATATCCAATCCAAACCTCCCCTGGCTGTTTCCTCTCATCCTGTTACTTGGGAGAAGAGGCTGAGACCCTTTTGGGAAGCGGCTGCTGCGACAGACGGGCTGGGAAAACACCTCAGGGAAGGGTTTGAGCCCCGAGCAAGGAGCAGCCGTGGGATCAGGCAGCTGCCAAGGGTTCAAATCCCCAACCCAGCAGCCCCAGGGCTGGAAAACAGCTGGATCAAAGGGCTAGGAGAGGGGGGAAAGCTGTTTTTCCAGCTCATAGGAAGCCAGCAGCTGTGCCCGTGGTCCCTGTGGGACCATCCCACTCCTCCAACACCCTCCAGAGCTGCCCAGAACCGCCCTGGGATGAACTGCAGTGATGTGCTGGGGGAGCAATTCCAGCTCCAAGGTCACTTTTCGCCTTACAGGGATCCAAGGAGTTGTTTATCCAGTTCCATACGTGTAAGGGAGTTTAAATGTAACTAAGGCAGCCCCAGCAACAGTGTTGTTTTCCCAGGGCAGCAAGTGCCAGCTACAACCTATGGACACCCTGGGAAGATTCCCAAGGCACAGGATCCCTGCTTTAGGGTTACACATTTATTCCCAGGATCCAGAGAATTTTTTCCTCTCTGATTCAGCCGAGTTTCCCTCGAGTTCTTTCTGGGTTTGGAGCCACGTTTCTCCAAGTCTTCTTGGGAGTTTTTTTGGCTCAAATTCTCCTCACCCCCTTCCCCTCGCAGGGAATTCCTCCCAGCAGCAATTCCAAACAGAATTTTATATTCCTGTATTCCCATCCCCGGGGGAGGTCACCACCCCTGTGCAGAGGCTTTGAGGACAAGGAGTAGCTGCATTAATTCAATTACTTAAAGCAGATAACGAGACAAGCTCCCTCCAGGCTCCCCTTCCTTAAAGGCACAGCTGCCTCACCCCCAGGGCCAGATTTTGGGGTGGATTTGGGCATTTCTCCTCCCTGATATACTCCAGTCTCTAAAACAGCTGGAGCATGGAGCTGCTGGAAGGAAAAAAAAAAACAACCCTCAGCTTTTTATTTTATCAATTTACTTTTATTTTAATAGAATAATGGCTTATTCTACTAGTTTAGTGCATTGTTTTAATGGAGCAATGTATTTTTTTTTAATAGATAATGGATTATCACAATCAGCTGTGATTCCTTGGGTAAACTTTGCTTTGAGCAGGCACGTGAGCAGAGTGACCTTGAAACAGGCTCTTCCTGGGAAAGGAAGGAAATTCCCATGGTGTGGGCACTTCCTGGGAATTCAGCCCTGCAAACACCACTAACACACCCGTGAGCACCCTCACCTTGCACCCAGCACCTTCTCCAGGTGCTTTCAGCTGAAAGGGAGCATTTCCAACAACAGGCTGTGGTAAAAATATGGAATCATGGAATGGTTTGGGTTGGAAGGACCTTAAAGCTCACCCAGCTTCACCCAGGGACACCTCCCACTATCCCAGGGTGCTTCCAGCCCCGTCCAACCTGGCCTTGGACACTTCCAGGGATGGGGCAGCCACAGCTTCTCTGGGAAATCCATTCCAGCTCCTCACAGAATTTCTCCCTAATATCCAACCCCAACCTACTCTCATCAGGATTTGCTTTAAAAGGGCAACACTTTGGGGATTTTTAATAGATTTGAGCTGTTTTAGTCGACTTCACCTTAGTTTTTGTCCCCTCCCACGCCATTCCATACTCCCTTCATCCCACACCTGGGATATCACACCCTTCAACCAAGGCCCCAAAAACTCCCCTGCCACCGGACCAGAATATTAAAAAATAAAGAAAAAAAAAAACCAAAAACCAAACCAAAAACCAAGCCACCAGTTTATTTAGAGAAATCCTTTCTTTAATGGTCAGTCTGGAACGCAGTGATGGGAAGAGGCTCCAGTGGCGAGGACGGAGCGCTGGGAGCCGGAGCCGTCACATGGCGAAGAGGATCAGGAATGCCACCATCAGACAGAAGAGCCCCATGGCCTCGGACAGGGCAAAGCCCAGGATGGCATAGGAGAACAGCTGCTGCTTCAGGGACGGATTCCTGAGGGGTGGGAATGAAGCAGGAAGGAAGCACAGTGAGGAAAAGCCGCGGCGAGAAGGAAGCGGCCGAAGCGGAGCCCGAATTCCCAGGATTGTGTCCCGCAGGCAGTGGGGTGGCAGGCAGCCAGCAGCTGGAATGACACAGCCAGGATTCTCCCCTGCTTTCAGGGATGTGGAGCCCTGAGGGTGACTTTCAGCTGGTGGCACCAAGCTACAATTCCTGCTCCTCCGTTTCTTCCAGAGGCAGCAGAATCCTTCAGAGTTAATTACAGGGTGAATTCAGACAATTGAGGAACTTCATTATTTAAGAGAACAATGGGTAATTTTAAGAGAATAATGGATTCTTATTTTAATAAATTAACATTATTTTAATAAAATGATGAAGC